CTCAACATTCCATTTTCTGTGATTATTACTGACATATGTAAGTAAATTACGTAATGATAAAAATGTCTCAACATTCCATTTTCTGTGATTATTACTGACATATGTAAGTAAATTACGTAATGATAAAAATGTCTCCTCAACATTCCATTTTCTGTGATTATTACTGACATATGTAAGTAAATTACGTAATGATAAAAATGTCTCCTCAACGTTTCATTTTCTGTGATTATTACTGACATATGTAAGTAAATTACGTAATGATAAAAATGTCTCCTCAACATTCCATTTTCTGTGATTATTACTGACATATGTAAGTAAATTACGTAATGATAAAAATGTCTCCTCAACATTCCATTTTCTGTGATTACTACTGACTTGTGTAAGAAAATTATGTAATGATAAAAATGTTTTCAGAGTAAAAGAACCAGTATTTTCTTACAGTTGAAATCTTATGTTTACAGCACTTCAGCTCCCATTAGGAAGGACTACAGTGATGCATCTTGTTCCAAGGGAAAACTTACCTGAACCTAATTCTCAAGGTACTGTTACTCGTTCAAAAGTAACATTATTTGGTAAAAATTTACTTTTGTTTATTTTTTACTTGAAAGATATGAAAAATACAGAAAGTATATTTGATGTTCAAAAAGTATTTAAACTCATAATAAATGTGGAACTATAAATAAAATAAATGAATGTGCCTTTTTGATATGTTTTTCAAGGCCTGTTCAGTGAACGCTTTTGACTACGTTACTGGGGCCTCTATCAGGCACGGTTTTTGTTAGCTTAGTCTTAGCTAAACTCATCATTCTAGAGCTAATTTAAGAGATTACAAGTGGTACATCTAGTTAATTAAAAAATAAATGCATAATTTTTAATTTTTCTAAAAGATCAGAATGAATAATATAACAAGAATTTTTGTTAGAGCCCTCCAAAATTAAGAGCTGTCCTTTTTTTTCTTCATCAGAGCAATGTTCAGTGGATGGCTCTTATTTCCTGGTTTATCCCATTAGGAAAGGGGGGGGATACAAGCATGTGCTGTAATGACAGTGGCCTTTTTAATTTTTTCTTTTCATGTGAGAATCCCTCCATGATTTTTAAAGTTGAGGATGTAACTGTATTACGCTTTCTTTGTTGTTCAGGCACTTGGCTGTCAACAGTCTTTGTTTCTGTGACATAATGTTTGGAGCATCTACGTTTAATATCATAAAGCACAATGTTTTGGTTCACTTCATTTTGTCTTGATCCAGGTAAGAATATATTTTTAAGAGTAGGAGGAGATATGGAAACATGTATTATGTTTTAAACAGAAATCTTTGTTTTTCCCCGGTAGGTGGAAATATAATCATTTTATTTTTGTTTTGAAGGTGCAGAAGTATTGTTTAAAAGGGATCTTATGGTGTCCTTGATTATTTTCTCAACATGATTATTCTGCATGAGCTTTTCTTGAAAGAATCCAATTTCTTTTGTTAGGTTTTCTTTCAAAAATATGTTGGTGGCTCTGTTGTTTAGTGTTTTTTATAATGCTTTTATTGACTTGAATTGGGATTCTTTTTGGGTCACTTTTTCACATCCAGGAATGATATAGAACTGGTTGTCGAGATGATGAAGAAAATCATAACTATACAGATGAAAGGGTCGTAAACAAACATCATTCACACATCTCTTCTAAAGCAGCTGATTTTATAAAAGTATTGACATAGCTGTTTAAGTTCTTTATTATAGAAATGTTAAATTGGAGATGGTTGTAAGTGAATACAGAAACTTCATAAAGAATAATTAAGTACCCACAGTGCAGGACCCAGGTTTTCATGAACTGTCTATTATGTCCTGGAGTTCAGAGGTTTGTATTATACTTTTAATTTTGGTTCACCAAACTGCAGAATATAAATATATAGTTTTTTCTGCATCTTGCTGAGAATAGAAAACATAAACAAATTCCTACCATGACCTGGGTATTGAAGCCAGTCTTGGACTTGTAGATGACTATCAACTAATTCTTTCCATGACCTGGGTAATGAGGCCAGTTTTGGACTTATAGATGACTATCAACTAATTCCTACCATGACCTGGGTATTGAGGCCAGTCTTGGACTTGTAGATGACTATCAACTAATTCCTTCCATGACCTGGGTATTGAGGCCAGTCTTGGACTTGTAGATGACTATCAACAAATTCCTTCCATGACCTGGGTAATGAAGCCAGTCTTGGACTTGTAGATGACTATCAACTAATTCCTACCATGACCTGGGTAATGAGGCCAGTCTTGAACTTGTAGATGACTTTCATTTAAGAGTGGGTTCAACTCATTTGTAAAGATTTGGAACCACTAGTTATGAGTTCTAGTCCAGCTAATTTTTGTATACTTTCTTGTATTATAATTGTTTCAGGTTCCATGTGTAAGTGGAAAATCATCACTGTTTCAGGTCCTTCATGAAACAGTGGAGACTATTTAATGTTATTTTCTGTGTATTTTATTATGCTTAGTTGTGACAGTGAAGTCTTCCATTATGTTAGGTCCTTGATGCAATGGTGGAACCTGCCACCATTGTGTTAGGTCCTTGATGCAATGGTGGAACCTGCCACCATTGTGTTAGGTCCTTGATGCAACGGTGGAACCTGCCACCATTGTGTTAGGTCCTTGATGCAACGGTGGAACCTGTCACCATTGTGGTAGTTCTTTCATACAACAATGGAACCTGACACCATTGTGGTTGGTCCTTCATACAACAGTGGAACCTGACCCCATTGTGGTAGGTCCTTCATACAACAGTGGAACCTGAACTCATGAGGTTAGGTCTGTAATGCAACAATATAACATCACAATTGTGTTAGGTCCTTAATGCAACAGTGGAACCTGTAACCATTGTGTTAGGTCCTTCATACAATAGTAGAACCTGTCACCATTATGTTAAGTCCTTAATGTAACAGTAGAACCTGCCATCTTTGTGTCAGGTCCTTGATGCAACAGTGGAACCTACCACCATGAGGTTAGGTCCTTGATGCAACAATATAACCTGTCACCATTGTGTTAGGTCCTTCATACAATAGAAGAACCTGTCACCATTGTGTTGTTAGGTCCTTCATACAACAGTAGAACCTGTCACCATTGTGTTAAGTCCTTTTTGTAACAATGAGCCTGTTGAATTTTAGTTCATCTATTTGCACTATGTTTCATTGTAACCATGAAGATCTGCCACCATTGTTTCACTTCTTTTATTTAACAGCAGGGACTCTCTCTCTCTCTCTCTCATTACTTTTAGTCCCCCTTCCAGTTTGCTGTGCTTGTAGGTAATGTGTAAGTAAAATATTAATGGAAAAAGATCATAAG